GATACGTGACTATCAAAGGACGTGATGTCGGATGATCATAGGGATGCCGCCTGGGTCACTGACCATGCTAATCTCTCGTTTTTGGAGGTCCACTAATCCTATGTGAGTGAGTTCAGTTTGAATATAAGTTCGGACTTCGTTTCATAGCTCCAGTTCCATTTCAGCTCTTGTCAAGTTCAGTTGCCACAATGAAAAGCAGTATCCCTTTGATCATCCGACATCACGTCCTTTGATAGTCGTGTATCACAGTTTCCTCCATGTCTATATTTTTAATATTTTAAATGTTTACAGCGTCCAGTTTATAAATTGAAACTGCCAAATCTATTAGCCTGAAATCTGTAAATTGCAATAAAGTTATTCTAAACCACATAGAGTGAAATATGTACTTGTAGTGCAATGTTTGTGTGATGGAATAAAATACTTAAGTAATGAGATGCAACTATTTTAAAACCTGCATTACATTTCCCTATTTCACTGCACTTTCCTACAAGATTTACATTATCTTTTTTTGTAATCATAGATAAAGCTAAAATGCATAGTATATATACTAATAGGTATGGATTATCCCTTGAATTGGGTGTAAGTAATCTTGGGTACGACTTATCTCATGAGTTGGATACAAGTTGTCTTGGGTATGAGATGACCCTAACCCAATTTACAGTACTTGTACCAATGTGTAAATTTTAACATGCACGCAACTGTCTAACTTAACTAATCTATAATTTACAGTAAATTTACATAGCAATTCTTAACAATTTAGTTGTACCAATGCATGTGTGTGCAACTGGCTATCTTAAACTAACCAAGTTACATAAAGGTGCTGGGCTTTGTTGGTTATGGGGTAGTTAGTCCCCTGAGTCCCCAGTTATTTGTCTGGGAATCCTCCAGAAGTCCTCTTCAACTATAAACCCAATCTCCTCCTAACACTTCATAATTCCCTAAAATTCACCCTGTATATGTCACATCATGTCCCGGCATGATATGGCGCAAAAAAGCTTAGTTCTGATATTACTCAAAATCTCGTGAGTTTACCTAAAATAAAAGAGTCCAGTTAAGATTCACTTTAGTTACACCAAAGAATTTCATATTTCTATTTTTATAAGGAGAAAGAGCCCCCCCCCCTCCCCAAAAATTATTCTATAGTTTTTGTTGCAAATTTAGTCTTCGAGTATTTTGTACTTTTCAATAGCACACAAGGAAAAATACAGTATTTGTCTTTCACTCATTCCCCTTTTATTGTTTTTGACTACCCTAAATGTTTTTTTTTAAGCTACAAATCAATATTTAGGAGTAACGTTTCTTGCGCAAATGCATAGTTTTTAATACATTTACCCTCAAAACATTAAGTATCTGTCATTGTTGGTGCATGTTGTCATCTACTCTGTTTGCAACCGACCCACTCTGTGTGAGCATAGTCACGTCCACAAAAAACGTAAAATTACACCATGACAATTCAAGAATGTTGCCTTCATTGGCTAAAATATTAAAAAAAAAAATTCCAGAGGAAATGCTACAGGATAAATTATTTTTAGTTGGCAACTACTAAATATTTACCTAAGATTCTTTGGTTGGTTATGATAGGTTCTAGTAAATGTTGCCGCTTTTAAAATAAAATACTTGGGTTAAGATTGGTTTTACTGATGTTCATATTTCCTACAGAAATAGTTAATATTTTGCTATTATGACTTAGATATAAGTTATGTTAACTTTTATCATTCTTGGATAGTCATTGTTTTGGAGGTAAAGTCGAAAGTTGAATTATTTACCGTAAATACTCCTCCGAAAAATCTGATAAGTAAATCTGTGGAAAATTAGCAAAATCAAACAACTCCTGGTGGTAGCAGTGTTCTCATACATTACCGTGGAGCCCCCCAGCTAGGAAGTTCGGTAAGGTTAGGTCAATTTTCTAGAAAAAAAAAAAGGCTGGTTTGGGACGGAAATGAATGTCAGATTTGGGCATTGCTTTAATTTCGGTCATCTGCGGAATCTTAGGAATTTAACTAGTGGGCCAGAAAGGGGGGTCGGGAGGGGCAGAACCTTCCCGGTTAGGTTAGCAGTATTTTTATAGTAGTTTACGGTACACAACATTCATTCCTCTAATCTTTTGTCATATTCGAAAAAGTCGTCTAATTTTAAGATAATTTTCTTCTACAGTATTACATTACCGTCGGAAAAGTATAATAACAGAGATAGCGCCTGCCAAATCTTTCTCTATTTAATTCCATCAATCTTCAGCCATTATCGCCTACCCAACATCCCACTCAGCCTGTTACCTTTATAAATCGCCATGCGCATACATTCCCGTACACGTCACGCAGCCAATCAAAAGAGTTCTTTTTTTTTTTGCCTCCAATTAAAATGATTTGTGGTTTCTGCTTTTAGAAATCGCAGTATTTTTTGCCCAATCAGATTCGATTGTGATTTTGGGCCTCAAGCTTCGAAATTCAAATTCATTTCCGACCATGGAAGCCTGCGATGGGTGTCACTTCAATTATATGAAGTTAATTGTGCGTTTTGGGGAAAAAAACGAACAAGCAATAATATTTTTTAGAGCTCATGGTGTTCTCCCGACCTCAGTAAAGATTCTAATATGGAATAAGGTGAGAAATAAGAGATTCCCTCATATGGTGAGTCTGGTTAAGTAAAAACACTTTGAGTTAGGTTAGGTCAGGTTGAGTTAGGTCAGATTATGTAATGTTGGGTTAGGTCAATGTTAGGTAAGGTTAAGTCATCCTAAAAAAGGTTAGGTTTATAACTTTTCAAGTGTTTTTGGGTGTATTTTGTATTCAAAGAGAGCTCAGGTTCTCAACTGGCTCAGCCATGTTAATATTGTTATTATTATCCACTCTGTATCTGTATTTTTTTCTGGCTAAATAAACTTACAATTCAATTCAATTCAATGATCTTTGTCAGAAAATGCTCCACCCAAAACCCCTATTCCAAACAGGTTTCCCTATCTTGTTGGGGGTAGAAGGGGGCAATATATCAAAATAGGCAATTTCCGATGGAAGTAAAGGTCAGAACCAATCAAAACACACAAAAAAATACACTAGAAATACATAGTTTCGACTTTCTTACAGAGTTGTGATCTACTATAAGTTTACCAGGTTAGATATAGTTCCTGGGTTCTGTGGCTAGGTTAGGTTACATTAGGTTGGTTAGGTTAGAGTAGGATAGGATATCTAAATACAGGGATGATCGAAACTAAAATTTTACCCAGAATCATTTGAAACCACCTATTTGGAAGTTGAAATTATGTTTTTCCAATGTGTTTTGAATTCTTCAATCATTCAAAACACATAAAACGATCAGAAAAACATAATTTCAACCTAACCTAACCTCTCCTATATTTCGCTTCATGACTGAAACAATAATAATACCTGGTCCTGATATATATATATATATATATATATATATATATATATATATATATATATATATATATATATATATATATATATATATATATATATATATATATATATATATATATATATATATATACATACATACATACACACACAGTGGGGTATGCTATAACGAACGGACCCTACTACGAATATTCCTATAACGAACGGTGTTACCTATAAAATTGATAATGCTATAACGAACGAAACTCCTACAACGGATATTATAATTTTTTTTTTTTTACCAATTTATTGTTTGTGTATTACAAGTATTAATGATATTCTTTATTTCAAAGGTTTAGATGCATATTTATGCACTTTTTTACAATTTTTACAATGTAATATTATATTTTTCAGTGTTAAGTGGTTGTATTTGGGGGCCTGGAATGGATTAATCCTATAACGAACGAATGCTATAACGAACAAGGTTCTAAAACCAATTAGATTCGTTATAGCATACCCCACTGTATATATATATATATATATATATATATATATATATATATATATATATATATATATATATATATATATATATATATATATATATATATATATATATATATATATATATATATACAGGTATATATATATCCTTTTTAGTAATTATTGACGGCTGACCCACGGGCTATTTAGCATAGTAAACGTTTATAAAAATGGGTAATTATTGACAACTGAGCAGGCCCTGATGGGGTCCGACTAATTACCCAAATGTACCCAAATGTAGCCGCAATGAAGTCAAATAATGGTCCTACATGAATAAATCGGACTGCCAATCACTTCTCGACAAGTATTTGGTGTCACAAAGTAAAAAAAAATGGAAAACGTAATTTAATCTGAGTTAATAGATCGCGTGCATGTACTGAGGGAGCGAGTAATTACCCAAATGTAGCCGCAATGAAGTCAACTGATGGTCCTACAAGAATAAATCGGACTGCCAATCACTTCTCGACTGGTATTTGGTGTCACGAAGTCACAAAAAATTGGTAAACTTAATTTAATCTGAGTTAATAGATCGAGTGCATGTACCTAACCTAACTCAGATTAAATTAAGTTTATAAATTTTTTGTGACTTTATGACACCAAATAATAATCGAGAAATGATTCACAGCCCGATTTACGCTTGTAGGACCATCATTTGACTTCATTGCGACTACATTTGGGTAAATACTCGCTCCCTCGGTACATGCACGCGATCTATTAACTCAGATTAAAGTAAGTTTTCCATTTTTTTTTTTACTTTGTGACACCAAATACTAGTTGAGAAGTGATTAGCAGTCCGATATATTCATGTAGGACCATTATTAGACTTAATTGCGGCTACATTTGGGTAATTAGTCGGACCGGGCCCTGATGTGGTAGGTGACCTGTGCCTGGGTGGGCTAACCCCTGTAAAAAAAAAAAAAAAATATGTACTTGATCCCAGAATCATTCTGAAAAAAAAACGTAGTACAGAATAAAACACTAGACAGTAACACTAAAATAATTAACCAATCAATGCATTACTGATAAACTAATCACTAAGCACCTGAGGTTTATGACAAAATATAAATGTATTAAGACTACAAAACTCTTTTGGAAGAGACTAGTTACCATTTGGTGCAGTAATAAAGACAGGGTTCTGCTGCTTCTTGGCCTTACGTCCAGGCCCCTTTTTCGCTTTCTCCTTGAAGTTTGCTTTCCTCCCCATCCTTCTCACACACTACCAACTAAAAACTTCTTAAATCTTTGCTTAAATATATAAAATCTGAACGACACACTACACCACACCACACCAGACGTTGTTGATGTCCCTCGTGGTACAGAACCAAGAAGGGTATATTGACATGAGACAAGAGGGGATACTCGTACTAACAACACGTGTGGAGTTATAATGGTTGAAGGGCAGGTAGCGCCACCATCACTGCCTCCAGTCTTATAAGAGAAAATAGTTATACAAGCGGTAACTATATTAGTATTAAAATTTTGATTTATTGATATTTAGTTAAATAATGCTCATTTAGTTCATTATATATAATAATGGGAAATGCGTGGATATAAATAATGGTGACGAATAAATTAATCCAAAAGTGGATAGTCCAAGAAACCCTTTAAAAGATTATTTTGGTCCACAGACGCGAAATTATCTTTTGCCATGTTAATGTAGAAATCAAATAAAAAAGAAAAAAATACTTATTTTATACTAAATTCTTAAAAGGATGAAGTGTGGAGGACTCAATAAGTTATGTAGAAATTCCATAATGATGGATGTTAAAAAGAGCCGATGTGGGTCGATGACCTGTGCCCGGGTGGGTTATTCCCCGTAAATAAAAAAACAATAATGGGCGTCGGTGGGTAGAACGGTACCGCTCTTGCCTCGCAAGCGAGATGTCACGGGAGATGTCACGGGTTCGATTCCCGGGTCGGTGGAAAGTTGTTCAGACACACTTCCCAGTCTCACTTGGTCCCTGTTCACCTAGCAGCAAAGTAGGTACCTGCTGTAAATCGAAAGTTGCGAATTCGTATTCAGGAACAAGTTGTTGGAGCTTCCAATAACTTGCTTAGATATAAACCCTTGATTCTTCAGGCTTCCACGCCCTTGACTCTTCAGGCTTCTATGCCCTTAACTCATGAGACATGAAGGCAAGCATGCTTCCCTGTTGGGCGCTGTAAAAGCTTCTGCTCTTCACCTTACACAGGGATGTAGGGGGGTGCCCAATAAAAAAAAATAATAAAATAAAACAATTCTGAGTTCTAAAATAAATAAAAAACTAGTTTGAGTTCAATCAATGCATTATAATTATTTGTAAATGATTGACTGCGAACACGTCTTTTCCATTCTAAAAAAAAATAGGAAATTGCATATTACGGTACAATATACGTGCACAATCAAGGAAAGTATAAGGAAAGTATATAGGAGGAAGTGCGTCTTAAAGCTACTTAATGTAGAACCCAATAGTGTGCACGCCTGGCCACTAGATAGCAGTAATTAAGTGGCGGGAAAAGTTGTGTCGGCTGTCTGATTTGACTGGCGGCAAAGACTATAAGGCCTGGCCGCTGGCGCTGGACCTAGTGATTGAGTCGAATGACATGACAGTGACACAAACATGGCGAAAAGGTAAGTAAGATCTTCACCGGTGTGTTGTGTGCGGCACAAATAAAAACAATAAAAGAGACTTGAGGTTTCATTACTTCTCAAAGGACAAGAAAAGGTGTGTATGTTGACAATGAACTGAAATTCTCGGGCCATTGCAAGAAGAAGGTAAATCGGGCAAACAAATTATTAGGTCTTATAAGAAGGTCGTTCAGATATCTAGACAGTCCGTCCTTCGTAACGATCTTCAAGAGTGAGGTGTTTTCTCGCCTGGAGTACTGTCACCCCATCTGGTCCCCAAGATATGCTGATTGAAAATGTCCAAAGGAGGGCCACCAGAGTAGTACCTGCACCTCGGCACCTCAGCTACCCTAAGAGATTAGAGCGCCTGAAATTGCCTAGCTTATTCTACAGACTGGCAAGGGGGACCTAATTGAGGTGTATAAACATCTCAAAGGGCACTACTCAGTCGATTGTCCTTACCTAGAGCTGGCAGATGCTCGCCTCACAAGGGGTCACAGCTCAAGGTTGAAGAAGTCGCAAGCCCAGGAAACTGTGAGGGGTAACTTTTTCGGAGTGAGAGTTGTGAACTCTTGGAACAATCTGCCAGAGAGTGTTGTGACGGCACCGAGTGTGAGCTCTTCGAGGGCCAGATTTGGTAAGCACTGGAACAGGTTCAGATACATTCAGGAGCCAGTGCATGCCTAGTGTAAGGAAGGGGGGAGGCGGAATTTGAGAGGTGTATATTTTATTTCTATTGTATTATTACATTCTTATCAATATATCTGTACAAGAGAAGTTATTTCCTTTATATGTATATATATATATATATATATATATATATATATATATATATATATATATATATATATATATATATATATATATATATATATATATATATATATATATATAATTTCATATTTTCTATTTCTTCTTTTGTTATATTATTTTATTTTCTCTGTGTTTTTTTTATGATATATTTTTCTAAGTTTGTATTTTTGTGTGCTTATTACTTTATTTTTTATATTTTACATTTATTTCAATGTCATTATTGTTTCTTATCTTTCCTCTTATTCTTTCACTATTGATCAGTGCTTTGTAATATTCTATTCAATGGATTAACAAGGGAAAACCATATCATTCTTAAACAACACCTGTTAAAGGAATTATTATACGCACAAGGGTAGACTGCCACCACCCAGGATTTTATAAGAATATAACTGCTATCATTAAGGGCCCTTTAAGGGGTTAGGTAGCGTGGTAGCGAGCTTATGCACGTGAGTTACATTGTTTATTTTCTGAGAAGCAATTTCTAGAAGGGAATAAGCGGTGATACTCACACTTTACTAATTCAATATTTATTAAAATCAAGAGTGAATAAGATGTTGTAGTGGACTTCTCCCCTACAACTGCGTAGCGGTGTCACCAGCTGCTACCATCTTCCCTAGCAACCAAGCGAGCGGCGACAACAGATGTTACCATAACCTAGCAACGGAACCAAAGACCGGCGACTTTCTCGGGTTTTTCCAACATGACTCATAGAGGACTCACGGCTGCTGGGTATATAAGCTCTGTCTCTCCATTGAGATTCATTCTGCCCATCTTCCTGAACACGCAACACCTCCTCCAGCAAGCTCCACGCTGCCCAGCTTTCATTCAACCAGGAGGCCAGCAACAGGCAACATCTTCTCTAACGAAGCTCCTGCACATCTACCTCCTTCAACACGCTACTCACCGAACGTCTCTACTGAGCAGCTCCTCACCACACGACACCTCCAGCACCAGACTGTCTATCATATAACTTATATTATACAAGAAAACCACCTTAGAGTTTCCATCCATCCTGAGTGCTAGACAACATTATACCACGAATTCCTACAAATGGTGACTCCCGGAGATAAGCACTCACACAGGATGGAGGACGGACGGGTCTCTCTGCCGACTTTCAACCACAACATCGAGGACTGGCTAGACCATGTGGAAGCAGCCCTCGCCGGCTCACGAGCGACCGACGAGCAAAAGTATGGCACCCTGCTCTGTGCCTTGCCCACGGAAGTGGCCACGCGGGTCTCACAAACCATTTCCAACCCTCCAGATGACAACAAATTCGCTACCCTGCGGGCTGCCTTGAAGACGTGTTATCAACAGACCAGCCCCAATCTCCTGCAAGATCTATCCTCTATCTCCCTCGGGAACTCAACCCCGGGACGTCTCTGGGAGGAGATGTGTTGGCTGAACTCCCGTCACACAGACAGACTCCCCGACTCTATCCTGCGCCAGCTTCACGCACAAAAGCTACCCACAGAAGTACGCAACATCCTGTCCGCAGTAGATTACTCTACGACACCAGAACTATATGCAACCGCGGCAGATAGAATTTTTAACGAGTGCGCTGCTGCACCCCTTGCCGCCACGGTCACACCAGTACCTACCATCGAACTTGTAAGCCGGGTCAACACCCCTCAGCCGAGCAATACCTCACAAGACATCAAGGACCTGTTGCAAATTTTGAACCGCAGGATGGACACCATTGAGCAGTTCTGCTCCTCCATACCCGCTGCTGCGCCAGTTCCTGACTCACACACCACGCCCTACAAGTTCCGACACACAGCAGCCAACCCCCAGCACAACAAATTTACCCTCTGCTGGTATCACCAGACTTTCGGCCGCAATGCTCGAAACTGTGAGCCCTATTGCACCTATTCGGGAAACGGCAACACCGGAGGCTGGTAGATGCCTCAGCCTCCGTCCCTTCAGGCGTCTCAATACTACGTGTCACCGACCGCACCTCCGGCAAGAAGTTCCTCATCGACACAGGTTCAACGGTCAGCCTCATCCCTCCCTCACTACGAGACAAGTCAAAGCAACCCTCGTATGACCTGTTCGCTGCCAACGGTACCTCCATCGCCTCCTACGGCGTACGCACCCTCGCCTTAGACCTCGGTCTGCCCAAGACTCTGCGTTGGTTATTCGTGATAGCAGACGTGTCTCAACCCATCCTTGGTTTCGACTTCCTCACCTTCCACAAGCTCGGCATCAAACCAAGTCATCTATGCCTCATCCATGAGCCTACAGCACGCAAGATCCAGGGTTCTCGTGCCAGACACACCGACACTATCACCTGTCTTGCGCCTTCCAACGAGTTCTCCTCCCTGCTCGACGAATTCAAGGAGCTTTTCTCACCCCGAGTCTCCCTACCCCCACCACCTACATCGGGAATTTTCCACCACATCGAAACCAAAGGACCACCAGTCTTTTCACGCCCTCGCCGCCTGCGCCCTGAGCTCCTGAACACAGCCAAAGTAGAATTCAACAAACTACTGCAAGACGGCATCATTCGCCCTTCAAGGAGTCCCTGGGCATCGCCTCTTCACATGGTTCCTAAGCAAACACCCGGCGAGTGGAGGGTGTGTGGCGACTACAGAGCCCTGAATCTCGTCACCAAACCTGACAGGTACCCTATTCCGCATGTCCAGGACTTTCACCACAAACTTCATGGCAAGACTATCTTCTCGAAGATCGACTTGGAGCGTGCCTTCCACCAGATCCCAGTAGCACCGCAGATACCCAGAAGACAGCCATCACCACTCCGTTTGGACTCTTCGAGTACACTTTCATGAGTTTTGGCTTACGCAATGCAGCACAGACTTTCCAGAGGTTCATGGACCATATGCTTCGAGACCTCGATTTTGTCACCGTCTACATTGACGACATCCTCGTCGCATCTTCGACGCCTGCCGAGCACCGCC